ATCCGTTGAACGGACAAAATATGGTGTGTGTTTACGATTTAACTCCCCCCTTCTCTCTCCTTTCTTCTTGCGGGTCCCGGAACAGTCCACATTGGGCACGTCCGCGCTCCTCACGCTGCTGACAGAATTGGCTAGGAGTTTGGCCACGCGCGGTTAGGGCCCTCGTTGATAGGCCGGCACAAGGGTTTTCGAAGCGCACGCCTCTATCGTATACATTGGGTCGGCAAAGTTTGTTGATTGGCAGCGTGAGAACTTTGCATTCCTGCCAGGGAAGTCCACAATTCTACGGCAGGGCGGTCGCCCACCATGTGTTGCGTCGATCCGCGCCGGAATTGTGAACTTCCCACAGCGTGTTTGCAAATGGGACTCCATACAAAAACAGCCAATTTTAGACACGCCCGTTCTCCTTCCCCTGCGGCCGGAATCATCTAAAAACTTGGCACCGCGTGGTCATGACCCCCGTGGATGGGGCTGCAAAAGGGTTTTCGATCTACGCGCCTCTATCGGCCATAACCTATCAAATTCGTGCTAAGTTGGTTGATCTGACTAGGCCAGGAGAAGGTACTCCGGGACTGGACATCCTGCGATTTTTATTACATTACACATTACATTACACCTGGTCGACACAGATGCTATTTTGGGGAGTGATGTTGTTACGCTGCGTCTCTATACTTCGAGACGGCGCAGTGCGGTGTAGGTACATGTGTGAGTTAGGTAATAAGTTCGGGATGGATATAATCTGAGTTTCGGCATTGAGGTTTGAGGCTCGAGTTGAGGATGCTGTTGAAGAAGGAGTTCAATGAGGCCGTTGAAGAAGGATGCGGCAGGATGGGGCCGTTGCGGGGGTGGCTGGCGCAGCCGCAGGAGGGCGGCTGGCGCGGCGGCCACTTATATATATATAACAGGGTATACGATGGTAATCTTGATCTGGGTTCTTGAAAGTCGGGTACGGAACGTAACAACCCGCCCTTCAGAAGAAGAGAAGCCCAAGTGGCTCTCGCCGTCGTACGTCGTAATGTTCAGTTCGACCTTGTGCTGCGTGTGCAGCTCGAGGGGCTGGCCCATGATCAGGCCCGACGGCCGCTGGTGGAGGTCGATCCACGACTTTTTTGGGTTGATCTTGAAGCCGCGCTTCTCGAACTGGTCCAGGAGCATGCAGGCGAGGTTTGCGAGGTCCCTGTAGTGCTTCTTGTGGGTGTTGATGATGTACGCGTCGTCGACAAAGGTCAGTTGGTCGTCGATCTTGTCCTGCGTCAGGATCTGGTTGATCTTATACGCTGACTCCGACTCCAAAGCCGCCATCTCGGCGGCCGGGGCGTCGGCCGCCCGCTCGCCTATCGTGTGGATGTTGAAGTGGTTGAAGTTCATCTCGCAGGGGAAGCCGGTGACGAGGATGGAGTAGTGGCAATTGCCGATGTTCTGCAGGACTTTCCACTCGTCGGGCAGCCCGTTGTCGGGGACCTTGCGCAGGCGTAGTAGGGGAAGATGAGTCCCTGCTTGTCCTTCACGGTGCGGCACGACCTGTTGTCGTAGTCCGTGACCTTTTGCCGCGATCCGCAGGTATACGTCAGTTTCAACTCGATTCGCGATCTCACTTGGCGCCAGTCCTGCCCCAGCATCTGCGTGGACGTCTGCTGCGAGTCGGGCGGCGCGGGCGTCTGCGTGACGTGTCACGGCTGGAAGTACTGCGCAGGCGCCTACGCGGCGTGGTTCTGCTGGAAGTGCGGTGCGGTCGTCTGCGTGGTGTGCTGCTGCAAGTCGAGCGTGTCTGACTGGCACGGGTGGACTATTGCCATTACCGTTGGGTTCGTGCTGGGGTCATAGTGTATAAATTCTTGTCGTCTTTGGGGTCGATAAACGTCCGTTTAGAGGCGCGAGCTTTGATGTTGGCCGAGTATCCATTCCACGAATGTACGTGGGCTGTTTGCGGGTCTTCGTCGATTGCGAGTAATTCTCCGACTTGCCAATCGAGCTCTTCCGGTCGTATAAACGACCTTGTCTCCAGCATTTAGGTCGCCCAAGCTCGACGGTGGTAGGGCACATCAGTTGGGATCTTGCCGGATTTCTTCGATGGTGCAGTGGGATGTTCGGTGGTTGTCTACGTTGAGTCTTTGAAATCCGCCGTTTGGAATTCACCACCTAGCCGGTACTTCCGTAGTCGCAAGGTCGCAATGCCCGATTTGGTATCTCCAGTTCGAATGTGGCGAAGGTCGAAGACGTTCGGGGGGACTGTTCTGTCAGTGTTGGTATGTGGGCCGATGATGAGGTACGGGCATAATACTGACCGATGAGTTTTGTGCTTATACCTGAAACAGTTGT